AATTTAGTATAACAAACTAACCTCTCTGTGTTCTGATGACCTAAGAGGCAGAGAAAACTTCAAAGACTTAATTTACCAATTGTATAACAATGAAATCCTTACAGACATCAAGCCATCATCAAAATAATCAAAGTATACAAGAGAGTCTCTTTAAACCCCTTATTGTTCAATTTAATAATGATTACGGTAATAAAAACGTTAATTAGGGAAAATAATACAACAAGACAAAAAATAATCAATTTACTGATGATTTCTAAAGATTAGCGGAGATTAGTGGAGAAAATACGTCAGGGTGCTAAAATTGAAATTCTATTATATATTCTGCTCAATGCTTTCAGCTTACAAAGCCATCATCAAAGCCATCGTCTACTAGATACCACTGATAGAAATCTTATTACCAAATCAAAACATTTGGAGTTAGAATTATTAAAAATACATGTAAAAAAGGCTGATTTTGGTAAACAAACACTAGTTTAACCAAACAATTTAGTAAAATACCAACAATCCAAATTAAAAATTGACTATAGGAGATTATCGATCTTCGCCTACCTGAATATTGGTATTTTACTAAATTATTTGATTTAACTAGTGCTTGTTAACCAGAATCAGCCATTTTGGTATTTATTTTTAATAATTATAACTTTAAAATGTTTTTATTTGATCTAAGAATTCTAGTGGTGATATCTAGTAGAAGGTGGCTTTGTTAATATTTGGTATGGTTTGCTAAACAACCGTCTAATTGGGCAGCATGTGCTTCCTAATTGACTAACATGGAGCATACATGAAGCATATATGAAGCATGATGGTACTGTGCCACATTTTAGAATACTCGTAAGAGATTTTCTGAATGAGAATGTTCCTAATATGTGGATAAGTCAGGGTAGACTTTATCACAGGCCGACAAGATCACCAGATTTTAATCCCGTAGATTATTTCCTTTAAGGACATTTAAAACCATTAATTTATAGTGACGAAATCAATTCACCGATGAACTTCTTCAGAAAATAAACAATGTGTGCGAAGAAATAAGAAAAAAACCTGAAACAATTCGAGTGGCAATCCAAGAAATTGTCGAAAGGGCAACAATATGTATTTAGCAGAACGGTTTTCATTTTGAATAATTATTAGGTTAGAACAAGTTATTTTATTAATTAGGTTTCAATTGATTCAGTGTTTATTTCTGAAATAAAATTAATCATTAATATTTTTATAATTATTTTGTTTATAATAAAATTTTCCTGTTACCTAAAAGAAAATACCAAACTCAAAGCCTATTAATGTTTGCTATTTTTTCGAAATTACCTTTTTAAAAAGTTTAAAAAGTACTCACTCAGAAAACAAATGTTTTCCAATTTTTTTCATTAAGAAATCATTTTTAAATTACTGAACTTGGCATCTAAATTTGTAGGGGTGGTAGTTCGCATAATTTGAGATCGATTCGCAGATTTCATTTTTCCAAAATATTTAAAATAAAAATAAATAAAAATTAATTAAAAATTATAAACCGGTACGGTCCTGCACAGCGATAGGATCGCTTCGACTCGCGGGAGCTATGCTTAGAATCGACAAAATTGCAAATCGCATCTGTTTTTGAGGACTATTGCGCTACGCGCTCAGGGTAGGACCTGCTCTTTGATTTTTTTTATAATGGCTCTATTTTGTTTATTATTATTTTTTTAGAAAAATGAAGTCTGCCAATTGCTCTCAAATTATGCGAACTACGACCCCTACAAATTTGAACGCCAAGTTCGGAAACACCCTGTATATATTTTTAAAAAATTAGTGCATATAAAATGACATGCGCAAACTTTAAAACACACCTAGTTAAATTGATTTTGTCTGCTCTTTTGAGATATTGAATTAGATAGCATTATTTTTGTTATATTGAGATGAGTACCTGACGCATTTTTATATACCAAGTGGTTTTGGCCAAAAACAAATTCAGGCCAAATTTATAAAACACACTGTGTCTAGGATCTAGACAATGAGATGTGATAGATATATTAATTAATCATTGATTTTGAAAGATCCAAGTGTCCCACACCTACAGTTAACGTATGTACATTACATTCTGATGCACCCTGTATATTACAAAAATGACAAGTATAGAAAGCTAATTAATGCGTAAATAATATAATTTGGTAAATTAACAAATTAAAATAGAAACAAAAACAAGGATACATATTTAAAGATAGCAAAAGATCAATAGTTAAATACACAGGCCAAATAGGACTTGACAGAACTATGTACGACACAAAGAACGATTGCTGAAAGTAGCTTGAGAGATCAAACAAGAAGTAAAAAATATGACAATCTCATAATTAGAATACCAGACAATAGAGTAGTTAAGATAGCAAAAGAAGTACTTGTAGAAATCGTAACATCAGGTAAAAGCCTACATTTAATAAACAGAACTACTGGTCAAAACTGACTAATAGAAGAGAAGAAGAAAATGTGAGTGTTCTGAGTATTTGGAATTATTTAAAAATTTGTTATTTTTTATATATATTTGTTGTCTTTTAAATTTGAAATATTTTTAAATTTACAATTTTTTAAATTTATAATTTTTTCTTACCCGCCTCCACCTCCACCAGCGCTGCAAATTTCAACGAGCGCTAGAACTACAACTAAAGCAACCTGAAAAAAAAAGTATAATTATAAAATATTTATAGTAATTGGTATATGACAGTTTAATTTGCGCAATATAAATTAAACTTTTTGAAATAATGTTTTTAATTTAGTTATTGGAGATTCAAAATAAAATAAATTTAAAAAATTACATGTTACATATGTCTTTCCTGTCTAGTTATATGCTTTTTTCGGTTATTTTGTACACCTCTGTAAATGTTTAGAGGATGAACTAAATACATACACTTTCCACACTCATCTTACTCAAAATATTTTTTATATATATTGCCAATGAAAATACTGAAAAATAAAAATTTTACTCTTTTACTTAAATTATTTCATAACGATCCATTTTAGAGAATTATAAAAATATAGAACAAAAATTATAGAGAACAATATTGTAAATAACTTCTAATTGAAGAATTTTCTTTTTTAATCGTAAATAACAGAGATAATCTTTAAAGTAAAAAAAAACTGCACCCTATAAGGTACCCCCCCGAAATGCTTCGACTATGCCCAAAATTTAATTAACTCACTACACGATAGATAAAAGCTTAAGTTTAAATTTTGATGTTTTTTTCTTCTTCAGTTTCTTCAAACTTCGAATTTTGCACTCTTTTTTTAAATTTCTCGAATATAAATCATTTTAGAAAAATTATGTATGTGACAAAAATTATAGAGAACGATATCGCAAGCAACTTTTACTTGACAAATTTTCTTCTCCAAGCTGAAATAACAGATATATTTCATAAAGTAAAAACGACCTACAATTAAATAATGTTCCCAAAATTTAATCAACTCGCAACAGGATGGATTTAGGCTTAAATTTTAAATTTAGTGTTTTTCTCTTTATGCTGTCATGGGATATCGAGTATACAGACACACATACACACACAGATATCATCGCGAAATAGTCAAAATGGATTCAATAGACCTCAAAATGTAAAAATCCGTCGAAACCCAAGGTCAAAAAATCATGGTTCCTATACTTTCCTTCTGTATACAAAGAGGAAAGTAAAAAGTGACCAAGACATTTTATTAATATCACCTTATTTTGACATTTAAAAACTAAAATTATAACTTTTTTTAAATTCATTATCCAATAAACATTCTAGTTTATAAAATAGAACAATAACAATAATTAAAATATTTAAAAAAAAGTAAACCTTAAAGCCATTTGTCATAAAAATAAATTGAAATAAAATAAGCAATTAATAATTTTATAAAAATAAATTAATTATCCAAAAATTTATATTTACAATTACATATTTATTTCTTACTTTATTATTTAAAAAATTAATCAAATTTATATTATTTTAAACCCACTCACAATCACTGAATTCAAAAAATTAAAGTAATACTATTTTGCTATTGTGTAAAAAGTATTATGTATTATCCTAAAATGTTGCTTACCAGGAAACGAGAAGCCATTTTGCGTATGAGATATTAAGTGCCAAAGTAACTGGCTAGAAATTCACTGCACTAAATCCGTTTGTGTTGTGAACTTTCAAGATCGCCACTCACTATTTATATGTTTGAATTTTGTTATTAAATGAAAGGAAAAAGATTTATTGTGGATGCATGAAAGTAGAAAAAAAAATACATCAGAGCATTTACCCCAAGAGGATGCTCCGAAGAAGCGCCCGTATTATAACAATCCATTCGTGCAGTTTTTTTTTTTTTTTGTATTTACAATTAAACTAATTGCGGTAGTATTTAAATTATTATGATTTTGTTTTATCAAACCAATTCTCACATGCAACTAAATAGGTCTTATTGTGTTTTTATTATACAGTATGGAGAAAAAAAGCAGGGTAAATAAGAGGAGCTAGGTATTTAATAATTTTAAAAGTTCTATTTTGTTGGTGTGTGTAAGATTATCATGCCGTTCTTGATTACTTCAAGGCTCGTATTAATTTTTAAAACTTTGAGTCAAAACGCCACATAAAGCAATCTGATACATAACAACCACTTTAATTAAAACATTTTTTGTTAATATTTAATATTTTTGATTTTTTTAATAAATTGAATAACAGTAAGAGAAAAATAAGGGTAGCAACGTCGCATCTTGAAATGTAGTTCGTATAAAATTTGTTCTGAGAAATAAATTAAAAAATTGCAGTTAATACTCCTAGAAAAATATTTGATGTGGTTTTTCCAATTTCACCAGTTCATCTATCATCACAGTAAGTGTTTGCACCAACTTTTTAAGTCTATTGTAGAAGAAATAAGCATATGTTTAATTTTTTTTATTAATAAAATATTTCTTATCTTAATTATTGGAATAGTTTAAAATACAAAGTTTGTACGTTGTTGCCAAGTCAAAAATAATCTTGGAAATTAAAGGAATATTAAAGACTATAATAAATATTATGGGTCTAATAGAAAAAAAGTCCTGCAAAAATGTTTCCGATAATATGACAATAAATGAATTATATAATCGCCTAGTTGAAAACAATACTAAACAAACTGCATATATTACGGGAAAAATAGATCATAGTATTGAACAACTGACAAATAAGTTAGAAGCAACATATAAAAAAATTGAAATATTAGAAAACTGTGTCAATATGAAAAGAAAACTTCGAAGAAATAATATTGCAATTTTTGGCCTCGTAATAAAATATCCTATCCTCGAAAACACTTTACAACCTTTGAATAACCTACTGGGAATAAATTTAAATAAAAATGATATCAACTTTATAAGGATTCCAAAAGAAGAACATGAGAAGCTACCAATTATCATTGAATTTATTTTCTTATACAAAAAACAAACGGTTTTCCAAAACGTTCAAAAGGTAAAAAACTCTAAAATATCTATTGCCTATGATAGGTGCTATCAAGATAGAAACGACTATAAAGTTCTTAAAAGACATCTAAATATTGCCGAAGATCAAAATCTGCCTGCTAAGATAAAGGGTAGAACTATTGAGATAAATGGAAATATTTACACAATCAACGATCTCCATAAAATAGAAAGACAGTGTGAAACTAATAAAGGCATCAGATCTGATTCCGATTTCAACCGAGAAAATGATGCAGAGGAGTTGGTAGAAGAAAAACCCAAATCCAAAGGAAAAGGGTAAAGAAAAAACATTATCTACAGCCCACCAGAAGAAAACCACAGAGTACTTAGAAGAAGATTTGATCAAAAACGTTAGTTTAGCTTACAATGTCACTTTTTTTTACTTTATTAAATGTTTTTTCTGAATATAGGTACATCACTTATTATTAATATTAAAAGTTCTTTTTTTTATTTTTTATATTTTATCATGGGTGAAATATATATTGCTCATCTCAATACTAGGTCGCTATTACAAAAAAATGATTACTTTAGGGATATGTTACAAAACAAAACTTTTGACATTATATGTTTATCAGAGACTTGGTTGAACATACAATTGACTGATGACATGATATAAGTTCCAGGCATGATACTATTACTCGAGAAGATAAACCCACGCGCATGCGATCCGCCCATCTCTCTCGCACGCCTGACGTCACTGGGAGACTACCCGACTCGGCAACAGCCAGTTCTATACGGCGAAAAGCGATTTTGCATGTATTACTAATTATTTAATTTTGTTTTATTGGTTTGTTGGGTTTTAGAAGTAAACGTGCGTAAAGCTTTTTATATGTTATATTTAAAAACATTGTTTTAAACATTTACTATGGTATACTGTGCAGTGGTGGGTTGTTCAAACAATAACAACCAAAAAATACTGCTGCAAATTGAATCAATACTTCAAAATTTCTATAGATGTTTAACTTTTAAGACGATTTATTTCTTGTTTATCCAAACATTTTTAATTTTTACCCCTCCTTTTTTACATTCATCCGTAATTTTTATAAAAATAATAAATTGATTGTAAAATGAAAATGACTATACTTTAAAAGCTCTAAAATAAGATTTAACTTGAATTTTTTTTCAAATACTTTGAATTTTACCCCCTCCCCTTTTTACCCCTACTTGTAATTTTTTTATTAAATCACTAAACGAATTTTAAAATTAAAATAGTACGAGAAAACTCGATTTTTTAAATATTTTAAATTTTTACTCCTCCCCTTTTTACTATTTTTCTAATTATCTATTAAAATATTAAATGTATAATAAAATCAAAATGTGCATAGCCAAAAACCTATATAACGACATATCACTCGATTTTTTACGAAAAAATGCAATTTTTTTATCATTTTCCCCGACATTTCACCCCCTTCCCCTTAACCAATTTTACTCAAAAATATTCCAATCCGACCACTAATGGAATAACACCTATCTATAGCGCAATTCCTTTAAAAGTTATGGTGAATACCGATAGACAGAAATTTTCTTTTTTGCTCTTAATACTTTTTTTACACGTTTTGAGACATTTTAAGATGACTAGGCAAGCCAAAAAATATTTAATTTAATAATATATCAATATTATAAAAATAATATATCGATATTATAATAAATAAACATAAAATATTGATTAAAACCGCTGTAGCTTAATGCTTTTCCATGCCCACGAGCTGGATTGTTGTCATCGGGTGACGTCATGCGCAAACGTGATCGAAATTGGATCGTCAAGTGGGCTTATCTTCTCGAGTAATAGTATCATGAGTTCCAAGATATAAAATTATTCGAAAAGATAGACACACTAAGGGCGGAGGTTTGGCATTTTTTATTAAAAGTAAATGCACAGTAAATAAAATAGAATCTTACAACTTTACAAATGATAGGATTGACAAAGAATGGATAAGAATTACAATAGATAAGAAAAAAATTGCTCTAGAATGTGTTTATCGTCCACCCCCTAGAATTCAAATGGACGTATTTTTAGATTTACTTGAGGATACTATTTCTGCCATGTACCTGAAACATGACCATGTAATATGTACGGGTGATTTCAATTTAGATTACCTAGATCATGACCATCCAACGGTAAAAGGGCTCACAATGTTACTAGAAGCGTTTGATTTGGAACAAATTATTTCGGAACCAACTCATATCGTCCTGACCTCTCAAATTTTACTGGACTACAGTCATTTATTTCAAATCATTCCCTTGTATATGCCTTAATTAAACTTGATGATACCGTTAATAACAATTTACCTATAACTTATCGAGATTTTTCTAAATTTAATCTTCAAAATTTTGAAAATGATCTTAGTGAACATAACTGGAAAAATATTATTAATTCCAGTGATATTAATGAGAAGGTAAATCTATTTAATACCTATATAAACTGTACATTTGATTATCATGTCTCATACAAAACAAAACTATTCCCAAAAAAACCGTTTCCGTGGATGACAAATAATATTAGATTTATGATCTCTTTAAAAGAAAAGGCGTTTCGGAAATTTAAGAAAACAAAACTATTAGTTTATTGGAACTATTACAAAGATATAAAAAATTATACTAATATCGCAATTAAATCAGAAAAAAAAAGCTTTTATTAAGCACTGCTTTCTCAAGATCTTGTTCGTTATTATGAAAACAATCGTCAACAAAACTTCCTTAATACTTTTAGATTTACTCCCGTTACTGAAAATGAAATTAGCGAAATAGTTATTAACATAAAGCTAGAGGAACAGATGATATAGATATAACACTTAAAAGATTCACGTGTCCATTTATACTGCCATATATAAGCAATATCATAAACTACTGCTTAACCCTTTCTGTGTTCCCAGATCAGTGTAAAGTAGGTAAGGTAATTCCAATCCCAAAAATACAAAACCCCACTAATTTAAAAGATATACGACCAATCACGATTCTTCCAACATTTTCTAAAATAATTGAAGGGGTCATGGAAACTCAACTTTACCCACTTAGATACTTATAATATCCTCTCTGAGGTGCAATCGGGATTTAGGCCGGGATATAGTTATGGTAGTGCATTGCTAAATATCACTGATGACATTTTTAGAGAACTAGATAAAGGAAATGTCGGAACACTGATCTTGTTGGAATACAGCAAGGCCTTTGACACAATTAGTCACACTGTGCTTTTTTCACAATTAAAATTTATAGGTGTACATGAGCCAGCCATAGAACATAAAACATATTTCAATCACAGACGTCAAGTAATTACATAAAAAGGACACACCTCAAACGAAGATGAAATTAAAAGAGGGGTAGTTCAAGGTTCAATTCTTGGACCCATTTTATTTACCATTTACACTAGCAATTTTCCTACTTGTTTAAATTTCTCAAAAATGCACATGAATGCAGATGATACACAATTGTACCGTTTCGGTAATAAGACAAATTTGTTAATGTTGCAAAATGAAATTAACAGGATTCGGAGAATCCTTTTGACCAGTCTAGTAATCACGATTTGCATTTAAATTCAAACAAGTCATATGTTATATTATTTGGTTTAACAAAGGATAATATTACAATTAAACTAAAAAATAATATTCTAAAACCTATTGAGAAATAAAAAAATTTGGGGGTTATTATTGATCAAAATCTTAGGTTTTTCATCACGTTAATAATATTTTAAAGAAAGGATATTCCAATATAAAGCTTTTGTATGCCAATCGGATATATCTGTCACAAGAAATTAAGTTATTACTAACAGAGTCATTGGTACCTTCGCATGCCAACTATTGCGATTATGTCTATCGACCATGTTTACGAGTCGTTGATCAGAACAAACTCAAAAAATTACAAAACTTCTGCCTCAGACTAGTCTACGGTATTAGGAAGCACGATCGAATTAGTCATAAGCTTATAACTGCAAACTGGTTAAATATGGCCAATAGACGTAGATTGCATTCACTTACGTTTTTTCACAAAATTATATCTGACAAAAAATCATCTTTCTTGACAAGAAAAATTAAATTGGTGCGTTTGCTAACGAATTATCAGATCAGCATCTGTGCAAAATTCGGATAGATATGTATATAAACATGTTTTTGTATATATTTGGTGTTAATTTTTACCAGTAAGCATTTAGAATTTGAAGTTCATGCTGGGTATATGACTTTTAGTATCTTCTAAGAATGTCCTGTTATAGCACGTGCTTGGTATATACTTTTTAGAATATACTTTCAAGGCACGTATTCAGTAGGTATATACTTTTTAGAATATATTTTCAAAGCACATACTAGGCATTTTAAAGAACATTTTTAGAAAGGACATACTTAAAATACATTAACAGAACGTTCTTAGTATATTCATAGAACATTTATGTGGGATAAAGGATCTTAGATATTTGTTCTAGTATAATATTACTTATCATACGATGTCAAAAGGGTGGCTTTAATGAGAATTGAAGGAGCTGAGAATGAATGGGAATTTATCCTCCCTTTGTATCCTAACATCACACACGTATATTACCTAGTGATACATTATTTATAACCAGTAAACACTGTGGAGTTCCTTACCTTCAGAAAATTTTTAAACCATACCAACTTTTAAGATACGTAAAATAATTTCTAATATACATAAAATTTCAACTATAACACCCTGTATCTTATTGGTAACGAACATTTATGGTATCAAGCAAAAACATTATACTATAGAATTTGTATCTAGTTAAAGTATTTACCATTCTGTATGTATAAGATCACTATCCAAAGTAAGCTTTTGCACTTTGAAATAGAACCCCAAAGTTGACGTTTTCTGCGAACTGACATTAAGTGACATCTTTGTCGCTCACCGAGCGGAAAATATGACAGCTTTATTGCTCGCCTAATTTAAAATAGATATAATACAATAATATTTCTGTTTAATAATTGATTTTCAAGTTATTTGTAGGCAGTTGCATGTTTTTTGTTATATTATCGAAGTTAACTTGGACTTAAAATATCATCTATTTTTTCATGGTTAATGAAGGTATAGGTAACACATTATACCCTAATTACGACAAATTTCAAGTTAAATATCTATTTTTTAAAAAAGTGTTATCGTTCTAGACATTACAACTAAGAGACCAAATTGTTTACATTTTTATATGGCAAATCATTATTCCCACCAGATTCTCGTTTATTGCGTCTTTGCCGTTTTTATCAGTCTGTAAAAATTATTTGGAGAAATTACTTTCGAAAAATAAAATTTGATGTGTCCTGTAACTATAATTTTATATTATAT